CGGAGGCTGGACTGATGATGTTACCCAGCAGGGTAATGAAACGTCTGCGAACGAACGAACCAGCTCGGCAAGCCAACCAACCACAGAATCCACAACCCAAGTTACAAATCTACTCAAGAACCTTGGGCTTCTATTCTGTCCTTCTGTCACTTCAATTCCAGCTTCATGAAGTGCCCAGTCTATGATTTCAGTTTAAATTGCATTTGTTGCCTTTGATTTCCCTCACAGTAGCAGGGCCTTGCGCTGCCCACCCCCAATGGCAGCAATGTGTTCAGTCTGAGCTCTTTTACTAAATCCCTTAATTTTTGCTTTCCCAGCGGGTAATACTGCATCACTTTTTAACATTGTCCGTTGCCCACCGGAAGTTATAAATTTACTCATGGATTTTCTGATGTCCCAGATCAATCCAAAGTCAGGAATTTTCCTACAGGCTACTATCATGTGGTGCAATCTGTATCCGCTTTGGAGTAACTAATTCATCTTTTTCGGGGAGTTCCTAACTCTCCCGCTGCAATGAAGAAGGGAAAGGGGGTCAGAAGTTGCCACACAGATTTCTTTACATGCTGTAGTTTAAATTCGACAGAGTGGTTCTTACACCCCTAACTGATTCCCCAGACAAGCATCGTTCTTATTGATTGAGTAAGTGGGACTCCAGAGCACACAGCAGAAGCTGTTACTTCCAATCCTGATCCCAATTTCTGTTCCAATCTATGATCCTGGGAGCGTCCAATCCAGAGGATCAAATGCCTGGGTTGGATGTAATCTTCAAATCTAGGGGATTGGACAGCAGGTTCTGATCACTGAATCTATGGGCTCTTTGTGTAAAGTTTATGGGTGTAGAGAAGATCCAGGTTTCCACAGCCCACAGTCACAGTGCAAAGGCACTAACCCTTTCCTTGAAGCTGCCTGTGAAGCCTACCCCTTGCCCTTTCTTGAGCGACCAGCTGCAGATGAGTTGAATTGGAGTTGAGAGTCAGTTTCTTCAGGGCAAGAATGTTGTACATGTTGACATCTAGTCCAGTTACTCCTGACATTTCATCCAGAGATTAAATCTTTGCCACACCACCTTTGAAATGATTCACTTTTAAAATCTGAAAGAAGTCTCGGATGGATTAAGATGGTCAAACTGTATTATATTGTAATAAATTATTGCATTCCAATGCACAAAAACCATCATTATCATCATATATTTTTGTCATTGAAACTGGAGAAACCATTGCAAAAGGCAACAGGAAGTAATTAAAAGCAACAATAGCAAGCAAATAATAGCAAAATCTAAAATAATTACCAGCTCAATGTTATTTTTAAATTGCTGTTAAGAATTAAGATTGGCAGAAAATGCCTGGAATAATTTAGTGTCTTAAATTAATTTTAATGCTCAATTTAAATTTTACACTTTGTTTTTCTTGCAATTATTTTGTGATTGTTCTGAATAAATGTTTATTAAAATACTTCAAGATACAACTGTTTCCCTTGCAGTTGTCTTCTATCCAAGCTGTGCTGCCAAGGACACGCAACAGAAGCAGCAGATTCCCACATAGTTAACTAGAGAAACAGTCACCAAGGTACCATAACACATGCTGAGCACGCGCACTGGCCTGAGAAATGGTTGATTACCAACCTATTGGCACCAGATGCCCCAGAATGTAAAGAAAAAGGTGAAACACTTTTATAAAGATGTTGAAAGAAAGTATCACAGCGGCTGCATTATGTGAAAAGGAACCGGATAAAATGCCCATATCTGTTTTCAATTCTTATCCTGCCACATTTGGCATTTCCTTACACTGTACTCAGACTTGAAATTTGAGGAAGACAGTATATAATGAAATTGAGTAAACTAACTCAACTAATGTGTCCATATTAAAATGATACCTATCCCATTGAGCAGGATGGTAATGTTACTCAGAAGATGGAAGATGTTTTCAATCTGAAGGCAGGGCATCATTCTCCACAAGGGCTGTATACGGACTGTATCAGTCTCGCTGATACTATCACAAACAGATGCATCAGCTACAGGCAGATTGATGAGAACGAGACTGATTATACCCCGGTTAGTTCCATCTCCACCTGCTGCAGCTGTAGACTCACAGCAATGTCCTTTAGGACTCAACCAGCTCTGCCAGTTGTGGGACTGTCAAGCCGCTCCTGGTGATGGACATTGAAGCCCCCTACACAGACCACATTCTGTTCCCTTGCCACCTTTAGTGCTTCCTCCAAATGATGTTGAACAGGAAGGTGTACTGATTCATCATCTGGGAGATTGGAGATAGACAGGGGAACAGTACGTAGTAATAAGCAGGAGGTTTCCTTGCCAACTTTTAACCTGACCCTTCACTGGCTCCAATGTCAATTTTGAGGTAAGGCATCTGCCCACTGGTTGCAACCACTGTGCTTTCCCTTTTCTGAAGAAGGGTCATACTAGACTTGAAATGTTTCTCTCTCCACAGTTGCTGCCTGACCTGCTGTCTTTCTCTAGTGTTCTCTACATTTGTTTCAGATTTCCAGCATCTACAATATTTTGCCTTAATTCAAGGATGGGTTGGTATGTGTGGGAATGGCATAGGTGACCTCAATCATGTGTAGATTTGTGGCTGTGTGGAAACTGTTAAATATGTTACATTCCCACATAGTGTAGAGCTTTTGCTCTGATGTCTTTGAATGAGACTGGCAATTTAAAAGCCCTGAGATTTTGTTTAAATTTCTCACTGCCATAAGGGAACACTTTGTATTCCCTGGTTTGCAAATGTTATGATCCCAGATGACGTCATTACTGAACAAGTCAAATTCCAGACTGAAATCTGGCTTCATGTGACTGAAATCACATTTTGTTTATCTTAGTTTAAATAATGTGGCATTTCATTGAAACACAAACACACAATGCTGCAGAATTGGTTTTCACAATAAAACCAAAGTTTATTATGCAAAAGGAATGAAAAGAAAATAAACCAAATTATTCACACATCACAATGCTCAAAGATTGCAAAATACATGGTGAAAATACAATGCCATTAATCTTAATGGCATTCCATTACAATCTTCGAACACCAGAGAGAATGCCCCTCTCATGAAAATCTGATAGTTTCTTCCTTGATTTGTCATATAACTGAGGTTAAGTTTTCTCAAATTTAAATAACCAAATATTTCTGATCTGTAACAATTAGTAAACTCCTTGTACAAAGGCAACTTATTTTTTAATAATTATAAACTACCTTCTCACTTTATCAGAAGCAGCTGCATTACATATCCAGCTTCAGCTAAGAACACTGCAGAATTGCAGTGACTGAAACTAAATGGAAACTTTTTTTAAGCTATGAGCTCTAAGTCCCCCAAAACATTCCAGAATCTTCCATCTAAAAGCTTAATGCACTGCACTGTTTGCTTTATTCACTCATGAACTTTTCCAATGTAAACAAATTTCCAATAGCCTCCAAAACCTCCTCTCAGGCTGTTTCTTTTTAATGACATCAATATGGCTATAAAAACACTTCTAAATTAATCATTTAAACCCTTCAGATGCACAGAAACCCACATGCCACTAGTTAAAATTCAAAAATCCAAAGTCAAAAGTAAACAAAACTAAAATTTATATAAATCACATATTTTACATTGCATAAAGATTTGGACATTCTGAAGTTTGTTGAACTTTGTGATTTGCATGGTATTGACAGATTCTGCTATACCTATACATAATCATTACATGTGAGTGCAGTTGGTTGCTGTGCCTGAAAGAGAGCACAACTGTACATTTTGGGTCATTTATATCTGCATTGGCTACATATTTTACCCTTTTGCTGTAGAATGTGAAAAATTATAGAAAATTCTCAGGAACTTTTGAATCACCAGTCTCATTCAAAGACACCAGAACAAATGTTGGACATTATATCAATCTGGAGAATGTAACATGTTTATCAGCTTCCACACAGCAACAAAGGACATGTGATTGCAGTGGAATATGTCTGTATTATTCCTCTGGTGGTTTTGGTCTTAGCAGTTGATGTTACCGATCAGCAATAAACAAAGTAGTCGGGTCTTCCCACAGGATTTGCTCAGTATATTCAAGACTGAGGTAGACAGTTTTCTAATCATTAAGGGATGGTCACTAAAGTTTATGGATTAAGGCAGGAAAGTGGAATTGAGAATTATTAAACCAACCATGACCCCATTGAATGGTAGAGTGGATTCAATGGGCCAAATGGCCTATTTCTGCCTTATGGACTTCTGGTTTACAACAGTTGAACATGGACTGTGGTAATTACTTGTGGTAGTCTTAACTTCTGTACCACTGAACTCTAAAAGTGGAAGTGACCATGTTAACATTCACAGCTCTAACAGCATTCTGTCTCTCAGTTACTTTCATCACAGTTGACTGCAGAGAGACAGCCTTTAATAATTCGTGCTTTCATTTCCCATTCAACATGTTTCATAAGGAAGTGAAGAATTTTATTGAAGAAATTAATGTGTTAATTAAAAGGAATTAATGAAAATACTATACAT